AGGAAGGAAGGAAGGAAGGAAGGAAGGAAGGAAGGAAGGAAGGAAGGAAGGAGAAGAAGGAGGGAAGGAAGGAAGGAAGGAAGGAAGCAAGGAAAAAAGAGAAAAGAGAAAGGAAGGGAAGGGAAGGGAAGGGAGGAAGGGAAAGGAAAGAAAGAAAGGGAGGGGAGGGAGGGAAGGAAGGAAGGAAGGAAAAGGAGAAAAAGAAGGCAGGAAGGAAGGAAGGAAGAGGAGAAAGAAGGAAGGAAGAAGGAAGGGAGGGAGGGGCCTAGGAAACACACCAGCTCAATTTCGCATCTATTCCAAGGTTCGGTTTTCCCTATTTTAAATGACTGTTTATACATCTTTTACGCACAGAAGGGCCCCAAAGAGGTTTTAAATCCCAAATTAACATTTGGCATTTCTGTCCAAAGGAATTTGGATGGGTAAAAGGAAAGTTTTTATTACAAACAGAGGTCTGAAGCCATGAACAGGATATATTTCCCCAAGGGCCAGAGAAGAAATTTGTCCGGAGGTGCCGATTTCTGTAAACGTGCAGCAGTTTCCCAAACTGATCGTCTGATTTGATGATCTTCAATTTTCCAATCCGGTTCATCATCTGGATTCAGAGATTTCATCATTGCCTCTGTGAAATCTGGCCCAGTAGCAACTGTTCCTTCAAGGTGGAGGTAGAAGTTGGACTTGGAAGAAGCAGGATCAAAGGAGCATTGATGTTTTTGAACTTTGACATTGGAAAAGACGTCTGAGAATACCATGGACAATCAAGAAAACTAACACATGGATCATCAAAGAAATCAACTCAGAGTTCTCACTTGAGGTACAAGTGACCTGGTTCAAATGATCAAATTTTGGACACTATGTGAAGACCCTGCTCTGTTCATAACTCTGAGAAGGGTGGAAGGAAAGAGAAGAGGATGATCAGCAGCATAGATGGGTGGACCATTGAGAGACCAGAACGCAGATCATCTTGGAGAAAGTCTCTCTCCGTGGTTGCTAAGACTTGATGCCACCTTGACAACATGTAATGAATTGTTATCTTCCGACTTACCCTTGAGATGGCTTGCAGTGCCTTTAAAACTTAGGTCAAAACAGGTTTTAAGGTGATGCTAAATTATATAAAAGATCTCGGGCATTCCAGCGTCAGCTTTGCTTCTGAATCTCAGGACTGATCTTGGAGGAAACGCTACTGAGCTTTCTTTGAGGCTCTGTAGAACTAACCCATTTGGGGACAAAAAGTTGTATCTAGGGTTGCCAAATGATTCTGAACTGGTCTGGGTTCTCTTCGTCCCTTCCGGGAAAGGCTCACCCATTTATGACAATTGTCCCAACAGGCTTAATTGGTTAATGAATTGGCCCACAATGGTGGCTTCATGCAAGATGTTGAAACCCAAGTTAACAGCACAGACTGGGTTTGTACAATTTGCTTAGACGCAGAAAAACTAGCTAAGCGTGTCATGGAAAAAGCTAATTTGAAAGGTCATGGCTTGTAGGGTGAAGGGACCCCTGGTCTCCTCTCATTTTCTCTGACCTAAGGGGCATTTTTCTGATTTCCCCAGGCGGCAAAGGTGGTGGATCCCTAGAAATGGATTTTTCTCCTTCCCAGTGAAGAAGGCAGCTGATTTTCTCAGCCCTTGGACAAATCCCATCATTTCCTTGTAGCTCCTGTGTTTGGATAAGTTTTAACTGGCTTTAATTTTCGTGCCACCTTTCTTTCACAAGAGCTTGGATGTCCACAGGCACCCAAGCCTTGGGTTTTTTTTGCAAGTGATCAAGAGATGCACGAGAAAATCTGGCACGTGGCTAGAAGCTTGGCTGGGTTCTCAAGGCTACAAACCAACCATGGTTTCTTCCACCTGGAAGATGGCTTGGAGAGCAATTTCTTTGCAACTTTTCTGCTTCCATCGGAAGGCCGTCAGCGCCATAAAGGAAGACATTGATTTGGAAGACAAGGCCCATGTAAAGAGGAAGAAGCAAGTGAAAAAAAGGCATTAATACATCCAAGGGGGGCCAGTGCGACCTGTCTGTTCTACAGAATTTGCTTTTGAGCAAACCCATTTTCCTGGTTTTGCAGGACCAAACGAGTCTAAAATGCAGTGTGCGTTGTGCTGGGTGAACAAAGGGACCGCTAGGCCCCAAAGTATTTTTATTATAAATGATGCAAAGGGTTGTGGAGCAGGGCAGGGAAAATGTCCAGTGGATAGTACGGAGATGAAAAAGTGGGATTTCCATTGCTCTTAGTCAAAACTGTTGGACCAGAGCAGTTTATTCATTGTTGTAAGTCTGGAAACAGGTAACTCTTCTGAGTTTTTACAAAATGGCGGCCTTGGCTGGTTTCCCCAAATCACAAAATGGCTGCCACAGGCCACACAGCCGCCATTTTGCTAAAATTGGTCTCTTGCTTGCTTCAATACTGTATTTTTTCCCCCTCTGGCCAGTGTCCATAGAGAGCATTAAACAGGCAGCTTCTCTGAGATGGTAGTTGGCTGGCCACCAAACCATAAACCAGAATTAGCAGTGTTTTTTTCGTGGAAGACATTAAACCAGTGTTTTTCAACCTTAGTCTCTGTGGACTTCAACTCCCAGAATTTCCCAGCCAGCATGGCTGGCTG